GCTGGGATCCCCTCGTCCACATGTAGTCAAACTGATACTGGTGTTGAGCAGCTAGTCCCTCCCAATGGTCGTGTATGGGAACCGGATTTCAAAGACATTCATAGGGGAGGGAAAATGTCAACGTATATCTCAAATATATAAAGTAAACTTAGCCTATCAACCATACACAAAATGATATATGAGCCTTGAAACATTTTGTGAAATACACTTATTCCCCAAACTCCTGGCTCTCTCTTCATATCTAACAGACAGATGTGGTACAGGTGTCAATCTTCTCATCTAACTGCCGGGAAGTGAATTAAGCGTATTTCTCAAAATGGCAAACTATTCCCTCAATTTAAACAAAATGTAGGCATATGATTTGTTCCTAGCAGCCAATAACAACCAGGTGATAATATATGCATAAGTATTTTTGAGGGAAAACAAGCTCATGATGCCAGTACGTATCAGTAGCCTAACAAGAGTTAGCAATAGAGTGTCCTTACTTGTAAAGTGTCCACTCAGGTCAAAGGAGAGTCAGTCCATGGATTAATCAACTACTCCCAAGTGTAGGTGAACTGCTTTAATACAAAAGTTTGATTCAGCTGACGTCAGCTGTAGGGTGACGTTCAGTGCCGGGCAAACCAGTTATTGTGATTCAACTGATATAACAGGAAGGATACGTCACTGGAAACACGTGCAATGTGCTTACCTAGCCTCGACAGAAACAACATCTGTACCTCGTGTAATGCATGTCAAACAGCGAACACTCACACAGGATTAGACTGACACACTTCCTGCCTGGTAAAAGTCAACAATCCAGAAGAGTCGGAAGTTCACTTCTAAATCTTCCTTTAGCTTTCACTCCCCCATCTTGAATTACCACCTTCTGCTGTTCAGGAATGGCACAAGGAGTGACAGCAGTTCTTTTGTTCAGGTGACACAATGTGATTGCATCGGTGGATGCAACCAAACCCAGAAATGCTGCTTTTGTATGAACTGTAGACACACACACACACACACACACACACACACACACACACACACACGCCCAAATCAGATGGCACGCCGAAGCCGCGCACAATCACAAATCATACATGTGTGCATATGTTTTTGTTAGCTTGGCCGGCTAGCTAGAGCCGGGGTTGATTCGAGTGTGTGAGAGTGTTTTTGCATCTCTCCATTCCCTCCCCTCCCTCTCTCCCTCTCTCTTCTCCACCCATCCCCCCCTTCTTGCCCCCCTCCCACACCCAAACTCCACTCTACCCCACCCCCATCTGCATCCCCGCGGCTTCAGCCCCCCACCTCCCTTTCCAGCCGTCCTCTTAGCCTATATACGGGTCGTCAAATCGTCAGTGCTGCTAGCCGCGCGGTTCATCATCACGCGCGCACGTGAACGCGACCAACTCTGCAGACTCTTTCGCTCGCTTTGAGAAGCAAAACACCAAACCATCAGCATCACAACAACCACAAGCAGACGAGGCTGCTACTTGCCTAGATGCAGGGTAGACCAGAGCTCCCTTTTTCAAGACTCGGAGACACAGAATGCTGAGCTTTAATATCGGGTACAAGTCTCTCCTCCTCCTCCTCCTCCTTCTGCTTCTTGCCACTGCTCCGACCAACTGGCAGGAAAAATGAGAGAGAAAGAGCGAGGGAGAGAGGGAGCAGCAGCAGTGGCAGCGAGAGGACGAGAGGCAGCGGTGTCATGAGTTGGGGAGGGGAGAGGGATGGAGGGTTGGTGGGGATAATGGGAGATTGGGAATGCTGAACGCGCGGATGGGCTGACCACAAGGGAAGCCGACGGACGCCTCAGCAGATGGGGGAGGGTGAGAGTACTGAGCTTCACATTTGAACAGGGTTATGGGAGCGACTGACTTTTGGGAGATGTGAATGAGGTGACCAGCTTGAGTTTACAACCAATTTCATGAGACTTGCACATCTGGAGAGAACTACCTGGAGGTACGGCTTTGGTGTGCTTCACCGCCCTACACATGCTGATCCTTTGTCAAGTCATTTCTTAGATGGTCTTTTTATAGTTTATGTTGGCTAATGCCTGAGATTGCTGGCATGCATGGGGGGCACAGAGTAAACACTCACCCAGTGATACCAGAAGGCGGAGTTAAAACGCTGCAGACCACAGATTGGTCAGAGATAACCAACACTAACACATCACAGGACGTCCTGCCCATGCCCGCCAATTATAAATAAGCTACCGCAATTGTTTTTTTTCACCCAAACCAGACTTTTAATAATTGGCAGCCCCCAAACAATTGATGAAATATAGATATTCCTCTGTTTTGTTGTCTCATTGATGATGATGTCACGGCAGTTTCACGCTACGGTGATCCGCTGAGAATCCCGCCTACACTGAGGGGGTGTACGGTCCGCAGTAGAAAATGAAATAAAGAAAAAGGAACTGGTACCAAAAGTGAGTTGAGTTGCCTCCCATTACAACAGAATACTGATGACGATATTACGGGCATACTGAATAAAACCACATTCCAGATAACAGCTTTAAATTTGGAAAGAGTCTGGAATGTTAGTATATACTGTTTTTGCTAAATGTATTTATCTTGCTGCTGAAAAGCTACAGAAAAACAACCAGTATTTTCAATTACGCCCACTTAACAAAAATACGCAAAATGCATATTTTCCATGATTTAGTCAAACTCACCAATTACATATGCGAGTTTGGCTCAAATTCATTCAGTCAAACAAATAGTGAGATTGGGACTTTAATAGACGCTGTTGTTACATGAGCGTGCAGAAAGGCTGGCTGAGTCGCGTTACCATTTTACCTGATTTAGAGGCAGGAAAAGCCCCAACATCCACACACTTCTCCATCTGTTTCTCCACCTGCTTGCGGTGCATTAATCACACCTACACACACACGGACACACACACCTACACACACACGGACACACACAACTACACGGACAGTGCTTCGACCAACCTTTGGACATACGTCAACATGGACACACGCTGACCTTCCACGGTCACAGGCCAAGACAGTCACAGCAAATCCATCTCACTTATGCATCAACGGTACAGAAAATAAACATGTGCTTTCCTATACGAAGCCGGTACTGCTCTTGTAATACTCCAAGTGTGAAGGGCACGAGGGAGGACTTATTCGTAGACTGAGCCTAGTGTCCTCCCGTAACAGAAAGAAGTAAAAAAAAATAAGCTGCAGCAAATTATTTGTCAATTCAATGTTCCAGTTTCACAGTCCTCTATGAGCGCATGACAACAAAAGCCTAACAGTCCTATAAAACATATGGCCTGGGGAACACCTTCATGATTTGTTTACTGCTAACACCAGGTTATTTTACTAGTGTGCCATAGACCACTCGGTGATTAAAATGGCCATTATGGCCAGATCCCCTCCCTCCACCGGTGTCTGGCTGACATATGGCAGCAGAGGTAATACAGATAAAGTCCCTTAAACAAGCCTCCTGAATACAGAGAGTCATTTGCGTGAGAGAGCCACGAATAAACTAATTGAAAAGCCAGCAGATGAAAACCATTAAGGGGAAAATCATGGGATTGGGGAAATGAGGTGCTTCCTCTCAGAAATTAACTGCAAAACAAAGAACCCAATATGCTCGTGCTTTGGAAAATACATGAGGAGAGGCTGAAAAGTAATTCCCAACATGAAAATTGTTTAAAGCCGTACTCCAAATATGTGTTTATTGTAGAATGTATGATGTGATATGTCTAAAGTGCCCTCGCGTACTAGTAACAGATATGCAACTACTGCACCGCAGCTGCAAATACTTGAATTCAGTCAATATTAAAGTGCTGTAAAGGAAACAAGTTAACATAGAAATGGCACACAGCCCAGTCATTTCTTCTGTTACACCTCTCATCTGCTTGTTCAGTCGCTTCCCTTGTTTCTCCATCTTCACAAGTGAGGCATGCTGGGTCCAAAGCCAGCAGGGGTTTCCGACTTCGGTATTGTGACAATAATGAGCCTGGCTCTGATTGGTCCACGCAGTTGATTTCGGTGGTGTATGCAAATCGGGGATAACATGAGATTGGCATCATGCAGCATTGTTCATCAGTCTAACCCTCTCTCCGTTTAAAGAGGGAGCTGCACAGTTATGGCATTCATCCCTCTGCTATAATGGCGCTAATGCCACATCCTTAGCACCAGCAGCATCTTCAAGGGTTGTTTTTCATAGCAGGGAAGAATAAAGCACTTCAAATGTCTACTTCAGCCTTTCAGCAGCAGAAGATACAACAGAAATATGCAGCATCAAAAAACAAACGTGCCTTTAGATCTCAGATATATCGACAGTGAGGAGGGGAAAAAAAAAAAGAGTGAAAGACACAAGCCTCTATTCCTGGATCACACGGCCAGCTCTGGCAGAGGAGATACTGGTTGGTGATTCAAGGTGAGCTACTTGGATGAAGCCCCACCCACCTAGAATTACCGGTGCCACTGATCCAGCGGACATGAGGTACCACTAGCCTATTCAACTGTGGAGTCACCGGACGTTTCCTCTACCTGATCAGACGAAATTAAGAAAGCGAGCCCTGTGCTGACTTTGTATCAACTCGCTGCTTGTTATCGGCAGGCGGAGAAGCCCGTTGTGGGATGAAGAGGGATGATGTGTGCACAGCCAATATCGGTCAAAAAGGCAAGCGGAACTGTGCTCGGATTAGGCTGAAATAATCTGGTTTAATTAGATAACCATCCAAAGTGTCTGTGTGAGGCAGCTCCACTCACAATCAATGCTTGGATCTCAAACTGAGCATGAGCTGGAGCTTGGGGCAGTGGCTCAATCTTAGCTCGTCCAAGGGTTTGTTTTTCATGAGGATGTTAAAAAAGTATTACACAATAATAATCTGTGGTGATCTCACGCAAACGAAGTGTGTAAAAAGCCAACGTGTCAGCAGGAACTGAAAGAATGGCTCACATAAATGGCGGGAAATGGAGAAGACAGTAGAGCAGCGAAGGACAAAACATGAAAGTGAGGAATGACAAGAGTGTAAGTGCAGAACGGTCGTGGACTCACAAGGCACGGCATGGCGATAGAGGTTGTCTCGGATGGTCTGCTGCAGTTCGTGGTCAGCCGAGGATTTCTGGAAGCGCTGGCTCAGGTAGTGCTTCAGGTCCTTGTTCAGCTTACTTCCTGTCATTGAGGACACAAACGGGGAAGCATGTGGTAACTGCATCAAAAACAACAACAAAAGTAAGGCTAGCAGACATCACAAGAGTCACAATGGGCGCCGTTATAATTCACAGCGAGTGTGTCAAACGGCCACACAGTCTGGCTCCCACAAAAAAAATAATAATAATAATACTGACGTTTATCCTGCAACTACAGCAGAGCTCGGTGCTGAGTACATAGCTGTGAATTGTACACTTGCCATTGTCACTCAGAGGGGTAGCTGGCTGTACCAGCCGGGGCTAGCCAGAAGCTCTGCGGCTAGCGCTGTGAACCAGCCCTCCTGCCGCTACGCCGTCTGGACCTCAGACACACATTAGGCTACTGAAGGGCAGCGCGGCTGGAAAGTGACCATTTCTGTGTACGTGCGTTTGGGTTTGAATGCGTGTCTGTGTCCATTACAGTGAGTGTCCACATTACAGGCGGTGCAGTATGACAACAAAACATGTATGATGTCACACAAACAGAGGAATGAGAGAGTTTGCCTGATGAATACGACAATGCCGTGGTCTAAAAATGAATAACAATACCGCTTAAGGCCGCAACAAACACCTTATCCCGTTCTATATTACTACGTGTCTCATTATTTATTATCCAGATGATTTATCGCCCATCTTTGCAGGGCTGCTGAGACCATTTTTAGTTGTCTTGGGCAAACAACCAGTCATAAAAGGCTCTGGATCCTGTTTCCATGGAAACTGTGTGTGTGTGTGTGTGTGTGTGTGTGTGTGTGTGTGTGTGTGTGTGTGTGTGTGCGCGCGTTTAATAAAATGATTGCGATTGTTAGCATAGTACAGAAGAAGCATTCTGCACTGGTCGGCAGAATGATTGTAGGTTCTTGAAATGAAAATACTATTAAATCAAAACATGCACATTCCACAGACGTGATATGACTGCATTGTTTATTTTAATGTGACCCCAGATGTTGTCTGTCATTCACATCAATAATAAGTAATAAGTTACAAGAGTGGGAGGGAGGCAAAAATGAAATGATGGTTCCCCTTGCTACTTATCAGATTGTTGATGTCTGCTTTGGAAGCTGTCAGATACACACTGCAATTAAAATGTCAATATCCAACTCTTGTGGAAACCTGTATTATAAAAAAGAAGAAGCATTTATGGTTATGCTTTTGACAAATAGTATTGTATTAAAATGTCAATTCTCTAAGACAAATGTCGAAATACTTTAATTTTGTTTCTCTCTCTAAAAAGAAAAAAGGATGAACGGTATTTTTATAAGCAAAGCTCTCAAATGAATTTACATTTTTTGTGAAGATGATTATTTCCAGGCTGGATAATTGTATATTTTATTACATGTTATTGTTAAAGAGTATATCTGGTCTTATTACTTGTTAATATCACAGTTACTGTAAGAGATTAGACTTTTCTAAAAATGTAATGTGAAGTTTCTTCTTGAAACTTGACTTGGGACAACTTCAGTGAATCCAGGCCCATGTCTACAAACATACTCCTGAAGTCAAGAGTTACTTATTTGACTGAGCATAATTACTCTCATCGCTAATAGACGATGTGGCTGTTTGCTAAACCAGGTTTGGTCTCAGCCCCTCCTGGGAGGAAACTCCCCTCAACAGGTCAGAAGCCAACAGAGAGCCTGACGCTCGCCCAGATGTTCTCTACCAATTACTGGAAGGCATTCCTCGCCAGCAGACCCCCCAACAGGCTGTTTTCCCCCGTCACAGAAATAGTTACAGTCGTACAATTTTGACGACTTATCGATAAGTTGATCTGTAAAACTAAGTTTCTCCATCATACAAAAGCACCACTTTAAATGTTTACCACAGATGTGCTCAGAAGCTTCTTGGAAACAAGTCATTCAGCACGAAAAGCACAACACTAACCAACTAAACAACTAATCAACAAAAGAAATCTCAGTCGACTGAGACACAGACGAATTGCTTCATTTCATTTGGTGTCTCTCTACATTTCATATTCGTATAAAAAGAACGAAATTGACTGAGTGGCTGAGTGCTTTGTATGAAAGTCCATTCTTTGGTTGGTTAGAAGTTCTTAGCACAGTTCACTTTGGACCGTGGACTTTGTGTGAGCACTGTTTAAGAAAGCTAAGCCTCCTGTGTGGTTGCTCGATTACTGGCGTGCAAACAACAGCACCACAAGGAGCCGTTACAGAAGCTTTAATCCGGTTCTGTAGACTCTGTCCTCCTCTCACTCTCTCTCTATGCATGCCTATTTTAAAGAAAACAACGCTGTGTTAATGAAAATGTGCATAAATCCTTCAAAGGTGGAACAGTGTGAACGAAGGGGCCCTGAAGGAAGTGCTGCGCTGATGAATGAGGATGAAGGTAATCACTTAGTGCCGACTCAGTAGATAGCGCTATCTGTCCTCCAGCTGTTTTTGGGGCTACTTTCGGTCGTGAAGTGCTGACATGGAACATGTGGATGTTTACTGATCAGCACCTGGTATTGGATTTATTGCATTTAATAGAAGATGATGAATGAATAGATGTCCAATACTGATATAGACCAGGTTACTATTATAACTGCCCACTAGCTTTCCATTGGCCTGCGCTGAGGTGTCAGCTGGGACCAAAGTATGCATGACGTCCGGGAGTCGAACTCAAAACTCATTTAGCGGGAGCCTACCCAACATAATATGTCGTTTCTGGTCTCCACCACATTTCCTTTCTCTTTCCTCTTTCCTGTCCACTACATAAAATAACAGCAGACTATTTTAAAACCACTCTCTTTAAGTGCACGAGTTCAGTCATTTGGTTGGCTCCAAATGAGGTCTAGATTGGTCTCACTGTAGAACAAATAGAGTCGACTGTGCTGTCAACGAGATCGATGTCCCGTGGATTGCTTCACCAGCAATCTGTCACCCGTCTTACGTGCGAGAAGATCAAGAAGATCCCCACTCACCTGCATTTAAGCCTTTAAGGCAGCTAGTCAGCCCCTACAAACCGATGGCGAGTACCTTAACACCATAAGCCCGTTAACTGCTACAGTACTGTGTATAGGCAGAGTAGGGGTGTTCGATTCAACAATATCAGATTGTGAAAGATTAAAAACGTCTCCATTAGCGGTGCAGCGTCGCTGCTAAACGATTAGCAAAACTGCGAGATTAAAAAAATATCCCCAAATGCGGTAAACTCGCCATCTCTACTTTAGGCAGCCATAGTCGTGGACGAGGAGATTGAGATTGCCACCATTGCCAGCATTGTCTGTTATTGGTCCTTTGAAAGCTTTGTTTCACTGAGGCTTAGGCTCTCCACACAGGAGAGAAAGGTGAGATGACGTTGAGGGCAGCGGTTACAAACAGGCTCAGTAGTGAACAAAAGAAAAGTAACCGATAAATATTTCAAGAAATGTTAAAGTCTTACATTTGAGAACAGACTTTGGTTTTGGGGGACAATTCAAAACATTGCAAAGTCTTAAAAACCAACTTGAATGAGAATCGTGATAACATCAATGATCATGATCCGGCGTGAAGAAATTGTGATGTGATATATTTTTGCCATGTGGCCCACCCCTAGGACACACAGCATGCTGGCCCTGATAGCAAACAAAGCACACTGCACTGACCCAAAACTCAGACGTGGACTGACTTGAGTAGACCACCCTAAAAAACTACAGAGACCGGAGATGTTTAAACATCCTTTTGTGGTTTAGATTGACTGGGTTGTTTAGTTTCTGAGGCCTCATCAGGACCTCATTTCCTCCCTTTTAACGTTATTCAAACATCGTATAGTACTTTCTTATGACCAACCCTAGGTGCCTGACCGTGTGTTTAGTGCATTGTTGAATTCCTTGATTATCTGAATTCAAGTCTACCTAAAGGCGACGAATAGCAGGCACGCAAGCAGCAAGGCTCGGTTTGGGAGAACATTTGGCCCAACAAGCGCCCACCCAAAGCCCTCTGCAAACGGATAATTAGAAACGACATATCCTTCAAACACAGCCCACCTGTTATAGATTTTCCATAAGCCCCCTAAGAAGAAGCAAGATGTTGAGACGGAGACACGCGATCCATGGCAGAAGGGAAGTGGGGGAGAAAGCGAGCGAGGCAGAGTGTGTCACACAGAAAGAGTACATCAGTATGAGCCACACAACACATCAAAAGAGTTTCAGACGCAGCGGAAATGTGAACGGCTCCGCTGCTTTCTAGGCATCTCCCATTGAGCCCGGCCCCGCACCCCTCAGATCAGATCAGCCCAGCACAGCCACGGCCCCGCTCAGCCATGCAGGGCCAGACATGGCACCAGCCAGACCCTCCAATAGCAGCCCACTTCTGTAATTCACAGCAGGGGGAAAACCCAGACTCCACTGAAACTCTATCCTCTCGCTGGTAGTGGGAAAGGAAAGGTTTGACCGATTTCTGCTGATTTTGGAAATGGCGGGACTGACGGAGTACATAGCGGGGTCAGCCCCCGTGACTCAAAACCCACAGCTACGTTAATGCTACATAGATGTCTTTGTATGTTCCTGAAATCAATCTGTCTTGCGTGTACTGTAGAAAAGTAGCTGAGGTTGTCGATTCCAGACCTGGGCTTGGGCCAGAATCCAAACTCACTTACACTTCATTACTTTCACTGGAAGAAGCCAAGTAATGGAAGCTTTACACGGTGTATGTGCAGGTCCACAGGAACATGCATATGGGAACAAGAATCTGTTACTGTTTATAACGTATATGCAAAATAGTAGTCCGGCATTTATAATTATGATTACGTGTCAATTCAATTTAGAGTTCTAAAATCAAATTGTATCCATGTTAACGCCGTGGCTCACTCGGTCCATCCGTCTGTTCACCAGACTGAAATATTTCAACAACTATTGCCATGATATGTGGTACAAATGTTCATGGTCCCCAGAGGATGACCCCCATCAACGTTGGTGATCCCCTGACCTTTCCCCTTGTGACACCATGAGGTTTAGTGATCTCTCACTATCCAGTAGATTATCTGGTGGCTTTAATGGTTCCCCTAACA